AGGAATGATAGTAAAAAGTTTAGAAGTTGTTTTTTTCCCCTTACTATTTACATAGATATAAGTTGAAATGTTATTAAGAATCGAGTATTTTTTTTTAATTTTTATTGCATTATTTTTACGTGTACCATCAAATCAGATCTGACTGATACAGGAGGAGATTGCCCCCTCCTTCTCCAGCAGAGCATCTGGTGGAATTGAACCGCATACTTCTGGGATTGCAGCGTCTTGCCACTAGGCCACCAGAGCTCCCTCAAGAATCAAGTATTTTTACCAAAAAAAAAAGCATATTGTTAGTAACATGAAATCTCAAATTCAAACTCATTTTTATCGAATTGGAACAGATTCATTGTTGAATGCTCATTGGGTTCCCAAGGCTGTAAATCTATGTCATGGAGTGAAATTGCCCATGTTTCTCCTGAAGTGTCGGTGGTGGATTTGAACCACCAGAGAGGTACCACCTTGGGTCAGAGAGGCACCACAATTCCCCCTGGACTACACAACCAAACTCCCCCAACATCATTTAGAGCAACTATATTTTGATATTAAAAACCATATTTCTTTGTCCTTGAAGAATTAAGAGTTCTCAAGAATAGTATTATAAAAAATAAAAAATAAGCTTTATCAATGCTCCAGCTGTTTCCCCCAGAAACACCACCAATTTGTGAGGCATTAATGGGTATTTTTAAAATAATTCCAGAGATGCCTCCGAATACTGAGTATCCAAGGGGCGGTCAAAAGAACGATCAAATCTGTCCTGAAAGAAATGCAACCAATCAGAGAACTCCTTAGAGGCAAAGATGGTTAAACCTGGCCTGACATACTTTGGGCATGCTGTCAAGAGGGGCCGGCCTTTGTCAAAAGACATCATCCTGGGAAAGATGGGAGGTCAGAGAAAGAGAGGGAGATCCTCAACAAGACGGACTAACATAGTGACTAGAACATGGCATAGGTCCTGAGAATTATGCAGGCAGAGCAAGGTTCTCATAGGTTGTTCTCAGGATCGCCAAGAGTTGTAATCAACTTAACAGCACCTAACAACAACAAATAAGCATGCTTGGGAAACATGTTTGGTAGTATACACCTACTCTTATATTTACCCAATATTCATTATCTAACATTTCATATTTGCAAAAATACAGTATCTACTATCCAACTATTTTGCACATTAATGGCATACATCTGGCAGTAATTAAGATTGAGGTACAAAATGAAAGCAATGCAGACTATGATGGTTAATTAGTATTGCCAGGGGCTTGACAGTTATGTACTGATGCAATCTGGCAGTTAAGCACGAGGTGATTTGACAGCTATGTAATGGTGTGTTCATCCTCCAATTTATTATCTGATGTGCTCATCCTCCATTTTTTTCATAGCAACTATTTTTGCATAATGATCTGGTCTTTGTAACCATGTGCAGATGGGACAAGTGAGTGTGTATCCCTGCCTGTCTCAGATATTTACAATATACATGGCTGTTTTCATTAGATGCTGTCAAATTAACTACACCTCACAGAACCCCTATGAGTAACAGACCAGAACCTGCCCTATCAGCATCATCTTCTTAATCTCAGCTGCAAAGCCTACTATTGTAGCCATCCACTTTGCTGAAGGCCTGTCTCTTTCACTGACCACTCTACCTTTCCCAGGATGATGTCTTATTCCAACGACTGGCTCCTGCTGAGAACATGTCTAAAGTATCTGTCGTGAAGTTTCATTGTCCTTGCCTCTAGAGAACACCCTGATGGCTCTTCTTCCTATTTGAGTCTGTCAGTCCATGAGATATTCAATAGTCTTATCAATCCCATGATTCAAAGGCATCGATTCTTCTTAGGTCTTCCTTATTCAACGTCCAACTTTCATGTGTGTATTGTTGTTATGTGCCATCAAACTGTCTGCAACTCATAGTGACAACATAGTGACAACTCATAGTACAACATCCCTAAACTGCTCTATCCTGTGCCAAAACTACTGTCACTAACACACCTATCCCCATTACCCCAGTCACTGGATCAATCCACCTCATCGAGCATCTTCCTCTCCTGTGCTGTCCCTCCACCCTCCCAAGCATGACATCCCTCTCCAAGGACTGATCCCACCTTACAACATGTCCAAAGTATATCAGATGAAGCTTCAGAATCCTTGCCTCCAAGGAACAGCCTGTTCTTACCCTCTCTGGAACAACCATGTTTGTTCTCCCAGCAGTCCATAGTATATTCAATACTCTTCTCCAGCACCACAGCTCAAAGGCATCAACTTTCTTTCTATCACCCCTACTCATATGTGTAGTAAGCAAATGAAACTACTAAAGCATGGGTCAAGTGCACTTCAGTCTTTAAACTGATATCCTTGCTTTAGTATATTGTTGTTGTTATGTGCTGTCAAATCAGAACAAATCCATAACTGACCCTCTAGTAAGTTTTAGAGGCTGTAAAGCTGTAAAGAGCCCCTAGCAAGCTCCACCAAATAAACATCTGTTGTTATGTACCATTGAGTTGAAACTGACCCTCCAGCAGGTTTTCAGAGATTTTAAAACTGTAAACTGCATGGGAGGAGATTCTTTTGTTTTCCTGAGGAGCATCTGGTGGATTTATACCATGTGTCTTTGGATTAGCAGCACTACTACTACTACTACCACTACCATTACCACCACCACCACCACCACTACCACTACCACTACTACTACTACTATTATTATTAAGCCACCAGAGGTCCCTAATAAAACACATTAATGTATTAAAGACTCTGAAACATCTTGGATTAAAGAGAACACTTCCATTCAAATTAACTCAGACATTTCTGAAATTATTTGAGTATGAAAAAAATTTTTCTCCTTAAAGCACCTATTACTTTCTCCCAGAACTTGAGACAACTGGGTATGATTATAGGAGAAACTTAGGGAGCAGCACAGAGATAGAGGAAGGCCTGCAGGTAAGAACTTCTAAATTTAACCCCTAGATCTGTCATTGATTAACTAACACATTTTGCCAACCTCACCTAGCTTTTTTTAGACTAAAAGTCTCTATTTATAAATTTCATTATCAACCATTAATTAAATTTAATTATCAAGAAAAGGTTTTTTTATGACACTTGGATCATAATTCACACTGAAAGGACAAGAATTCTGTCAATTCTTCTCTCTCCTCCTTTCCTTCTCTCCTTTTTAAAACTAGTTTTCATTTAAATGAAATTTAAATTAACATTTTCTTTTTCAATACTTTTAGGTTTACAAAACAATTGCTGACCTAACACAGAATTTCCATCTGACTCCTCTCAAAACTTCTCCTTCCCTTTCTTTTTCTCTCCCCCTTCATGTGTGGGAATTCTGGTAATAAGGCTGGGCCAGCTGGTGTCTTCCTGGCACAAACACTGCTAGGCGGTGGGGAGAGAGAAGTAAACCAACATCTGCCATAACATTGAATGATAAGTGCACTGACAAAGATGCAAACCACAAGGTGATCTAACCTAGAGAGTTTTGAAACTCCCACAGAAAAATTGCCAACTTAGACTAGACCTAAAAGATGGAGGACTGAGTCCTGCACAGGGAAATGGAGGAGAACGTCCTTCATGGGCTGATGTAATCATCAGTTTCCAAAACAATCATGACGTTGAATAGTGTTTAGCAGAGCGCTAGAGAATTTACACAATGTTTTTCTTTTATTAAGATATCACGGACTAGGAAACAATGAGTAATAAAGGAGGGGAAGTAATTGTTCACTGGTACAACTGAACTGAGAGATTTGTTGTAAATTAACTTTGTTCTCTTCTCGAGAAATAAAAAGCTGAGGAGTACTTTTACTAAGAAATGATAGTTGTGGATTGTGGTATTTCTTCAAGGAGCCTCTGAGTGGGTTCAAATGGGCAACCCTTTGGTTACCTTGAGCCCTGAACCATCGCAGCTTTCCCCCTTAAAATAGTCATGAGTTGAAAAACAAGGAACTCATGCAATATTGTTCAAAATCGGTGACCCTGGAGGACATTATGCTGAGTGAAATATCTCAGTCACAAAAAGACAAATACTGCATAGTGCCACTGATGCAGAATGGGACTGACGTCAGAGTTGGAGTAAGACTGAGAAAAACTGGATAAATTATGTATGCTGCATTAAAATAGATGAGAGAGAGAACAGTTTAAAAGCAATATATGATAGGGTATTAGGGTTATCACAAGAGTCCAGAATGAAGGTTGCATAGTGGAGTGTACTCGGGGCGGGGGTTTGTATACCAATGAAGGAATTTTTCTCTTACTTTCAAAGAGAAGAGCGAACTGGAGGGGAGGGGTGGGCAGGGAGAAAAGAGCAACAATGAATGAATAGAAATCCAAAAATCTCTGTAAATGTTCATTAAAATTAATAAAATAAAAATTTTTAAAAAGAAACATAACTGGCATCTCTAGAAAAAAAATAGTCGTTAAGTTTATACATTACTTGTGGAATTCTGCAAATAGTGCAATACGCACACACGTGATGGGGGAGCCCAGGGACAGCCAGGTTTTCCTCTTTGATCTTTCCCACCAATTGAAGCAGGACCTCCCGCACACAAGCAGGACGCCTGCCCCCGGTTCAGAGCCCTGCTCAGTCTCCCATTGTGAATTGCAACAGAAGGAAACGACAGCAGTGTTGTCTCAAAGTCCTACCTGAACTCAGCTAGCCAATGAGCCCCTGGAAACGCCCCAATGGGGAATGCCCATTTGTGCAAGAAGCCTTCCCCAGCCCTAGCTCCCCGCCCCACAAGCCCGGTGCTGATTCAGACGGGCCCTCTCTGAATTCTGCCCCCTCCACGACTTCTGCTCTCCTCGGGCGTTTCCTAAAGGGCCCTCGGAAGTCTCTACCGGTGTCTGGATTGGCTTCTGGGAAGGAACCAGGACGCCCTTTGAGAGGGTGGCGGACACTGGGGCGGACCTGGCAGGGAGCACACCCCACCCCAAGCCCCGAGGAGCTCCGGAGCAGCCGGGCGGGGCTGTCACTTCTCCCCTGCTTCGTGTCCCTTTCACTTTGACATGCCATGCCGACTGCCATGCCAGGGCTCTGGCTCCTCCTGTCGCTGGTGAGTGCTCCTGCCTGGCTTGGCCTCCCTTTGGGATTCTCTGACCTGGACCCCTGGGCGAGAAGGCAGCCTTGAATGGGTTCGCCTCCTGGGGAGCGCGGCAAGGACTTTCCCTCCGCTGCTGAAACCTCTTTCCAGGAGGCTTAAAACAAATGTGAACGTGCGGAGCGCTCAAAGCTAGTGGAGTGGCTCTGAGTGCGTTATGGGGGCGCTGTGCCAGGGAAGAGGTGGGCGCAGGGGCAGGAACTGGGGTAGGGCCTGGAGGTTTCGCTGGGAGGGGAGGATGTTTGATGTAGGAACCCTTGCACGCCATATCAGAGGGGAGGGTGTGCATGCCTGGACATGCCAGGGGCTGCGGAGAGAGCCTGCTGTCTTGTGTGTTTCCGAAAGGTCTCAGATTTACTCCATCAGCACGTAGGCAGCGGTTATAGCTGAGGCATCAGAAGGCATCCTCACCCTCTGGGGAAGAGTTATCCTGGAGTTACAGACACTTCAGGTTTGCTTATCTTCTGTCAGAAGAGAAAAAGAAACCACTTTTGTTTGCCTTCCGGGAATCTCTCTTCCTAAGACTGTGAGTCACTGTTGCAGATTTAGTTTGGTGTTTGTTTTTTTTTTAACCCTTCTTTCATCCTTTTTTAAACCTAAGACACCAGGGTGCTTTCTGAAGTCCCCTAGCAAGTAAACCTGGGCCTTCCTCCTCCAGTGTGCATGCTTGAAGCTGGAGTAGATCACTTCTTCTGGAGTATTCCTTGACTTAGAAATGCCAACTTGATGGGCTCTAATGGAAAGCATTAGTCAGCTCTGGTGGCTTAGTGGTAAGGAATTGTGTCCCTAACTCAAAGGCACCCAGTTCGAATCTACCACCTGCTGAGTGGAAGAAAAATGGATAGTCTCCTTCCGCGCCAGAGGGTCAGCTGTGAGTTGGTTCTGACTCAAAAGCGCTTAACTAACTATCTAACTAGCTAGCTAGCTAGCTAACTCATGGAAAGCACTAACCCCAAGAGTTCCAAAGTCCTGAAGGCCAATGGGTTCTTATTTCATTGACTCCAAGCAAGTGCCAGGCACTATGATAAGGACATTTACAAATGAGATCTCCTTTAATTCCCCCTCAGCCTAGAAATGAGGATGGTGACTTCTCCACTTTTTCAGATGAGAAAAGAGAGTCGAGTGAAAATGAATTCACAGGGCTGGTAGGTAGGCAAGCAGGATTTAGTTAAAATCCAAGTCTAAAGCCCAGATGATGTCTTCTGAAAGTTCTAATCAAAGTGCTTATCTGCCCTCTGGGGCCTGATAGTACCTTTAAGCTTACCTTTAACTAAGGAGCTCTTGTGGCCTAGTAGTAAGGATTTGCACTGCCAACCCCAAAGCAGGTGATTCAAGTCCACCCATGGCTCCAAGACAGATGTGCAATCTCCTGCTGTGTGATTTAAGCTTCTGAGAACCTGCTGAAGAATCAGCCATGAATGGACCCTGATTCCATGGTGATACATAACAACAACTGCCTTTAACTAGAGCTTAATTTAGAATAAAAAGAGGCTTTGGGTGTATACACAGGGACTATGGAGTCCTACTGTGGGACTGGTTTCTGACCTTGATCCCTAGCTTAACTGATATAGAAGTCCTTCAACTCTACATAAGGGCAGACTTATATGCAGTGTTAGCAGCAGGATAAATGGAAGACATAACTGGACTTTTCTCTTCAGCCTAAAAAGTAAAATGTATCTTTCAGACTGTACCAAAATAAAATGTTACAGTTTGGGGGACTATTTTATGATCAGAAAATAATTTTCCTGATATTTTAAAAAATCCTGTGCAATATTTGAACTCCTTTAGAAATTTCCTTAGGGAAAAGCTAAGCTTGAAACATTTACACAACCTCTGACCACACTCTTCTGCACTGGTAGCCACTGCACTACTGTGGTGCTGATTGCCTTGAGAACGCTCTTTATTTCTTAAGTCAGCAATATTAGCAAAGTCATCAAAACACGGAGCTAACATTTGTACGGTAGCATCTTTAGTGGAAGACACATCAGTAGACACCAAGGGGATTTTTGCTTTTCTGAAAGAATGTGCACCACACCCATATGCATATGTGAGCAGTTTGGAAGTGTGTTGACACTGTCGCACATATGTTGGGAATGCTAGCAAAAGGAAGCTGTCCTGGAGAAAAGACATCATGCTTGGAAAAGTAGAGGTCGTCAAGGACTAAAAGACCTTCAATAAGATGAAGTAACACAGTGATTACAATGATCTTGAGCAGATCAGAGATGGATGTATGGTTGCTATGAGTCAGATCAATGACTCCTCATCACAACAACAATTATATAGACATCTGGTGGCACAATGATTAAATGCTCAGGAGCTAACAGAAAGCTGGTGGATTGAACTCACCTAGCAGTGCTGGAGAATAAGGGCCTGCTGAACTACTTACATCCAAGTTTACTTAGTCACAGTGGGTCACGATGAGTCAGTATCAACTGAGAGCAATATAAACAACATATTATAATAGTTATGATACTATGTCAAATTATATCATTTGCACGTTGTATAATATTAGAAATTAAATATTTGCATATGATATACTTTAGGTTGTGGGTAAGGGCCATCAAGTCAACCACTGATCATTGTTACCCTATGAACAACAGATCAAAGGCTTCCCCTAACCTGTGACATCCTCACAATCCCAAACAGGCTCAAGTCCATTGTCACAGCCACTTTGTCAATGCATCCTGTTGGAAGTCTATCTCTCTTCAACGACCCTCTTCTTTGCCAAGCACAATGTCTTTCTCTGAGGACTAGAGAACTTGACAACATATTTGAAATATGTGAACTTCAATGTCACTGTCTTTGCCTCTAAGGAACATCCGGGTTGTACTTCCCACAGGATAGATTTGATTTCTGTTGGTGGTCCTTGACATACTGATTACTCTTTGCCAAACCCACATTTCAAAAGCATCAACTTCTCTATATGACTAACATATGGCTTAAGAAATTAAAGTGTATTAAGTATAATTGTTGGCAACTCTGGTGGCTTAGTGGCGAGAAGCTGCGCCACAATCCCAAATGCACACAGTTCAAGGCCACTAGTTGTTCATGCCTTCCGGATTCAGGATTGCAGGTCGGCTTCTTACCTCTAGGCCACCAGAGCTCCAAAGGGATAAGAGAAAGAATCTGGAAAAGAAACCCAGGTATTTATTTATAAGTAATCATACAGAATAGTTTTAGAAATAAAACAAAGAACAATTGTTTAATGTATTCATGACTGGCTTGTGCAAATGGTTTAAGGAGCTGCCCTGCCAACCCCAAGGTCAATGGTTCAAATCCATCAGCTGTTCTGCAGGACAAAGATGGGCAATCTCCTTTCTTGCGATTTCCAGGCTCTGAAAACTCGATGGAGGGTCAGCTAGGAGTTGGTTCCAACTCTATGCCAACAAACACCACTCACTGAAAATGTTAAACTCACCCACCAATAGCGCAGAAGAAAGGCCTGATGTTACACTTACTTATAGACCACAGGCAAGAAACCCTTAACAGCAGTTTTACTTTAAAGTAGACATTAGATCTCCTATATCCTAAAGGCGATAGGTAAAGGTTTAATGTGTATTTCAATTTCTTCCTTAAATGAATCTTAGAAACAGGAAATGGAGTCCCAGTATATTTATTTTTATTTTTAAATAGGCTTCACTGATCACAAAATACTTAAGACATTTTATAAACATAATAAAACTGTTGTTGTTGGATATGTCTAGTCATAACTGACCCATAGCTGACCCTCCAGCAGGTTTTCAGAGGTAGTGAATTGCATAGGAGGAAATTGCCCAACCTTCTCCCACTAAGCAACTGGGAGACTCAAATCTCCTACCTTTATGTTGGCAGCACAGTTCCTTCCCAATCAGAGCTCCATCAATAACATAAGGAAATGTAAATTCAACATTAACAACCAGGATAGGGAAAAAAACAAAACAACACAAAACCCACAAGTAATGGTAAGACTGTAAAGCAAAAGAGTAAATTGGTGTATAGAGACCACTGGGTCAACAGTAACTACAGGTAAAAGCATTCAAAGTCTTCTGCTTTTCGTGCCCTGGATACAATTGTCACCCTTAGGGACAAATTAGTTTTCTTTGGAAGAGGAAGTTTTATTACTCACACTGAGTTATTGACAAGGGAAGGAGAGGCAAAAAGGAACTGGAGTTGGGTGCTGCCTCTGAGTAAATCTCTTCTGAACAGTTGACAAGTAATTTACTTTTCAGTAACTCTTATAGTGGATATGCCATTACTTCAAATGAATCATTCTGAAAGCTATCAGGATGCTCTAGGGAAGAAGTCTCATGGAGCAACCCAGACAGCACCTAAAACAGCTGGAGAGAAGAAACATTTTGCAAGGTAATACTCAGAAACTTGCTTTAGGAAATCCCCCCCTTGAAAGCCCCTGATGAATTAAGTAAGTGTCTTTTAGGTGATTTACCTTGGGTTCCAAAAGTCCCCTAAAGAGCACATGTCTTCTAAGAGGCATTAGAAGCTATTTGCTTATGTTTAAATAACAACAATAACAATTTAAAAAAAAAAAAAGGGAAGAGCATTGCCTTAGATCTCTTATCCCGCTGTAACAGAGATACAAACAAAAACATTCTTTTACAGTTTAGGAGGCTAGAACCCAAGTTCAGGATGTCAGCTAAGGAGGAAAGCCCTCTCTCTGTCAGCTGTGAAGGGAAGTTCTTGATTCCTTCAGCATCTGTAGGCCTGGCTTTCTTGGAGACCCCAAAGTTTTCTGGCTTTCCCAGGTACTGGTGTCTGCAGGGACTTGGGTCCAAAAGAAAATATTCTTAGGGATTCTTTCTTGGTGGTGCTAAAGGTAGCTGTCCCTTCCCCTCACTTTCCTCCATAATAAAGGCCACATCATGGAGACCTCCCATTACATCTGATTAGAACTGTGATGGGGAAAAGGAGGGTAGCATTTCACCCTCAAGCGTCCTGCATCTATTTATCAGGATTGCAGG